GTTCTGTGATTCTGTGATTCTGTGAATTCTAAGGCTTCTAAACGTACTTACTTCCTGTTGAGGGCTCAGCTACGACACACCACTTCCAGTGACCAGAAGTGTGATACAGGCATGTTTTTGAACAAATAACTTTAAGCTTTCCTCTTTTTTTAGCAAGGAGCATTAAGGATACATTTCTCCTCCTCACCAGCTCAAGAGGAAAGGGCCGGATTCAAGTTGTTTGTATGCATGTAATTCCAAATCAACATAGAAGCACTACGCAAAAGGTCACAACAAAACAAATTTAAACTGACCACATCAAAAAAGAGATACAATTATAGGATAAACTTCAAAGAAATGCTAGGGGCAAGACATCTTAAACAATTAATTGCTTCCTTGATCTGTTTAGCAAAAACAAAAATGCCTTTTTACATTGTTGCTTGAGAAAGCCAATTTAATTGTTTGCAATTTCTCTGCATAAAAAGGGTTGAAGGGGATCAATTACCTACATGAATGATTTCATCTACTGCAACTGACCAAGTCAATTCCAGTTTCAATATTATTCAAACAGTTTCAATATTATTAAGTTCCACAAATAAAGGAAAAATTATTCTTTAAATAGTCCTACAAAAGTCTGCCACGTAATGTGCAAGAGGACCAAAAATTAGTCATTCTTCCTTTGGATTTGTTTGGTTTCTATTCCATAGTAGAAAACGAGAGATTAAATGGAAATCTATAAGAATTAAAATAATCTAAACCATCTCTGATTTCGAAACATGTTACATCTCATATTTTCAGTCCTATATTTTCTATATTCCTATAGAAGATCAGTATGTAGAATTCTATCTGCCTTTAGTTTGTCCTGATCAAGTTATGCTGTTGTTCTTGACAGGAAATATTTAGTTGCCGCTTCAGCAGTTGTTCTGTCAACATACTTCTCCCAACCCTTAAATGACACTAACACGAAAAGCTGACACAGGTTTGCAAGGCGTTATTTTCATGACAAGATCTTCGCACTATTACCTCCAACCTGAGGTTCCAGAGCATGGAATTAAAGTATACTATTCAAAAAGACTAACTATATGAAGAAGTAGGCCAAAGCTAGCAAACCGCAGGATGATATGGTAGAAAACCATGGAAAAATGCTCATCTAAGTAAACACAAAATTGTATCACAGTCAACAAGCAGATTGTCAAGGTTTGACACCACTGGGCATAAGTGGCATGAATGTTTTTTAACTGGCAGAGAATGCCTCCTGCATATAAGCCCGACTGGCAAAGCACATTCTGGTCATCTTAAAATTAGATCACAGTCATCTTTATGAGACGAAGGTAAATTTATAACAAGGTCCTACCTCACGGAACAGAGGCAGTAACTTACATTCCATGTAGTATAGGAAGCAAAGTAATCCCAGCCTTTTCAGCAACATATTGACTGTTTAGTAACTACACTAAGGGATATGACCACAAGCTATACAACTGTTACGGATTGGTTTTAGAAGTAATTAGCCTTAAGGATACAGGATCTATCAGTCCACTGCAACAGAATGAAATGGACCAGCTTATTTCATAGGATCATAGAATGGTTTGGGTTGGAAGGGACCTTAAAGCTCATCCAGTTCAACCCTTGCCAGGGGCAAGGACACCTCCCGACACCCCAGGCTGTTCACAGCCCCATCCAACCTGGCCTTGAACACTTCCAGGGAAGGGGGCACCCACAGCTTCCCTGGGCAACCTGTGCCAGGTGCTTCTCGACAGTCTCTAACAATTTAACTGTTTTATTTTGCAATGGAACAGACACATACGTTTAGTTGAGATTTACCAGATTTGATTTGTATGATATTGATCATAAGTGGCATTTCTGTTCAACAGTCTACCTAAGGTTCTGTGAAATTCTGAACTAGGAAGCACACTTTAAACCTGTGGACTTTATAAACTATATGAGTCTTATAAAAGCTGCTTTGAAGTTTGTACATGAACTTGAAAGCTGAGTTTCACAAAAAAAAAATAGAGTTGTTTAATCACTTTATAAGCACATTGCAGTCATTTTGCCTCGACTATGTCAGTCCCCTAGCCTAGTGCTCAAGAGTTGCTTGTATTTCGGCTATGCAGAACATCTCATTTACCTTGAAGAGTGTGGCTTTCTCAGGGATTATCCCTTTAATTTTCACTTGAGGTTCCAGGGGAAGTGGAATAAGTTCCATATCTGCTAAATTCATTTTTTCATTATCTGCTAACAAAGCCTGAAGCCTCTCATTCTAAAAAGGATAAAAGAATCAAAAACTTGTTTAAAAAACAAACCATAAAACACATACTACGTATATATGAACAGTTCAGAAGCCTTTTAACAAAGGATATATTAATTAACATCCAATTTATTAATTCCTTATTCTTCCAAAGAATCAAGGTTTCACTCTTAAAGTCTAGTGAAATAAAAATTCTGTTTGCACTAATCTGAATAAGGAAGCAGATATTGCAGCTAGTCCAAGTCATTTTTTAAGTGACAGATAAAACAGTCTTACAGAAAACTCTTTCTGAATTGCCTGCACAAGTAGCAGGATGATTCGTTCTCTACTTTGGTATCAAACGCTTGTTCTGTTTCAGAAACTTGATTCAAGTCCTGGGCTCTGATCCTTTAAATCCCTGAACTACAGGACATCCCCTATTACCAATGAACCAAATTGACAACAGCTTCCATAGATCTGATCTCAGGCTTGCTCTACATTCCTATTACCAGAAATACAATACCAGTTAATTTTTGACTACTTTGCACTTGGTGCCCTACACAGATGTTGAATACATAAAAGTCTCCAGTCTTTTCCCCTACCGGATATAACAGGCAAACACAGACACATCAAGAGAGCTCACAACTGTTAGGAATAATTCTAGTGGTTAACTGCTGTTAGCCAGATTTTAATCCAAAGATCAAAACCACACGTTTCTCAGTTTTACAAAAGTATCCTGCGAATTATAAAAGAGCATTTGACAGAATGCTATCCATGTATTGCACAAGCAGGAAATACATTCTTATGAATTGAAAAACCCTCCTCCTCTTCTATTAAAGATGAGTACAGCTTTATGTCTGATACATAGAACATTCAAAACATTTCACAGAAATGATGTAATGCTTAAGTATTTCGTTTTCCTGCACAAATATAAACCATAGATTTAAAGGAAGAAAGTGACAAAATTACACCGAAAAATCCACATAGAAAAATACTGATGTGTGTCAAAGGAAAATAAAATACATGAAGAGAAATCC